CCCGGCGCCGGCGGCGCCCGCATGCGCCTGCGCGTCGTCACGCTGGTGGAGCACCCCTTCGTGTTCACCAGGGAGGTGGACGAGGACGGGAGCTGCCCCGCCGGGCAGCCCTCTTCGAGGAGCTCGGCAACGGCTCCGTGCCGCGCGAGTACAAGAAGTGCTGCTACGGCTACTGCATCGACCTGCTGGAGAAGCTGGCGGAGGATCTGCCCTTCGACTTCGAGCTCTACATTGTGGGCGACGGGAAATACGGGGCCTGGAAGAACGGCCGCTGGACCGGCCTGGTGGGGGACCTGCTCAGCGGCACGGCCCACATGGCCGTCACCTCCTTCAGCATCAACTCGGCGCGGAGCAAAGTCATCGACTTCACCAGCCCTTTCTTCTCCACCAGCCTGGGCATCCTGGTGAGGACCAAGGACACGGCTTCGCCCATCGGGGCCTTCATGTGGCCTCTGCACTGGACCATGTGGGTGGGCATCTTCGTGGCCCTGCACATGACTGCGCTCTTCCTCACCCTTTACGAGTGGAAGAGCCCCTACGGCATGACGCCCCACGGCCGCAACCGCATGAAGATCTTCTCCTACTCCTCGGACCTCAACCTGTGCTACGCCATACTCTTCGGGCGCACCGTGTCCCGCAAGACGCCCAAGTGCTGCACCGGCCGCTTCCTCATGAACCTCTGGGCCATCTTCTGCCTCCTGGTGCTCTCCAGCTACACGGCCAACCTGGCCGCCGTCATGGTGGGGGAGAAGACCTTCGAGGAGCTCTCGGGCATCCATGACCCGAAGGTAGGAGCGCGTCCGCGTTGCGGGGTCGTGCCGGCCGGGGCTGGGGGGGCTGATGGTCTGGTGCTGCAGCTGCACCACCCCTCGCAGGGCTTCCGCTTCGGCACCGTGTGGGAGAGCAGCGCCGAGGAGTACATCCAGAAGAGCTTCCCCGAGATGCACGAGTACATGCGGCGCTACAACGTGCCCACCACCCCCGCCGGCGTCACCATGCTCAAGTGAGCGACTGTGGCGGGGGGGATGCAGCCCTGTCCTGCCCCCAAACTGGTGGGGACTGTCATTGGGATGCCCCCCGCAAAAACCACCTTGGCTGCAGGACGGAGCCGCCCAAGCTCAACGCCTTCATCATGGACAAGTCGCTGCTCGACTACGAGGTCTCCATCGACTCGGACTGCAAGCTGCTCACCGTGGGCAAACCCTTCGCCATCGAAGGTGGGGACAGGGGACACCTGCAGCAGGAGAGGGGGGGACAGGACACAGGTTCGGGCAAGGCCCCCAGCTCTGTCACTGTCTCCTCCCCACTGGACCAGGCTACGGCATCGGCCTCCCGCAGAACTCGCCGCTCACCTCCAACATCTCCGAGTTCATCAGCCGCTACAAGTCGTCCGGGTTCATCGACCTGCTGCACGACAAGTGGTACAAGATGGTGCCCTGCGGCAAGCGGGTCTTCGCTGTCACCGAGGTGAGGGCGACCGGGGGCTCGGCGGGGTTGTCCCCTCCTGTCCCCAGCGCTGGGACGGCCCCCTCCCCGCAGACCCTGCAGATGGGCATCTACCACTTCTCGGGGCTCTTCGTGCTGCTGTGCATCGGGCTCTGCGGCTCCCTGCTCACCTCGCTGGGCGAACACGTCTTCTACCGCCTCATCCTGCCCCGCATCAAGCGGAAGAAGAAGTTCAACTACTGGCTGCACACGAGCCAGGTGGGCACCGCGGCCCCGGCCCCGCGCCCGGGCCCTGGCGCCAGCTGAAACCCCCTTGGGCCCCGCAGAAAATCCACCGGGCGCTGAACACGGGCACCGAGGAGCAGAAAACTCAGCGGCTCGGCTTGGAGGAGAGGTATGGGCAGCTGCTCCATGCTCAGCCTCCTCCTCTTCCTCTTCCTCCTCTTTCTTCCTCCTCTTCCTGTCCCTCCTCCTCCCCCTCCTCTTTCTCTTTTTCCTTCTCCTCCTCTCCCTCCTCTCTTCTTCCTCCTCTCCTCTTCCTCCTCTTTCTTCCTCCTCTTCCTGTCCCTCCTCCTCCCCCTCCTCTTTCTCTTTTTCCTTCTCCTCCTCTCCCTCCTCTCTTCTTCCTCCTCTCCTCTTCCTCCTCTTTCTTCCTCCTCTTCTTCCTCCATATCCACTTCCACCTCTTCTTCTTCCTCCTCTCCTCTTCCTCCTCTTCCTCTTCCTCCTCTTTCTTCCTCCTCTTCCTGTCCCTCCTCCTCCCCCTCCTCTTCCTCTTTTTCCTTCTCCTCCTCTCCCTCCCACTTCCACCTCCTCTTCTTCCTCCCCTCCTCTTCCTCCTCCTCCTTTCCTCCTCTTCCCCCTCCTCTTCCTCTTTTTCCTCCTCGTCCTCTCCTCCTCTCTTCTTCCTCCTCCTGCTCTTTCTCCTCCTCTCTTCTCCTCCTCTTCTTCCTCTTCTCCTCCTCGTCCTCTTCTTCCTCCTCCTCCTCTGCCTCCTTTCTTCTTCCCCTCCTCTTTCTCCTCCTTTTCTTCCTCCTTATCCATTTCCTCCTTTTCCTCTTCCTCCTCCTTCTCCTTTTCTTCCTCCTCCTCTCCCTCCTCCCCTTCTTCCTCCTCCTCTTCTTCTTCCTCCTCTCTTCCTCCTCCTCCCCTCCCTCCTCCTCTCCCTCTTCCTCTCCCTCCTCCTCCTCCTCGGGCCCGCAGGCCCCATTCCCCGTCTCTCCCACATCCCAGGTGCG